CGTCACGTTGTGACGCTCTGTGAACGATATGTACCATAGTCACGTGAAAAATAGTCATCAGCTGATTATAAGCTCGACATGCCCCTCCAAACAAATTAAATTGGTTGATATTGACATTGTGAACGCAGTCTTTGTATTCCGATTACCTGTCAGAAATTATAACAGAAACAATGACCGGCAAATAAAGTTTTTTTTGGTACGGTCAGTCCGGGGTCAGTTCACATGTAGTTCAACAATTTCCAATTGATAATGACATCATACATTGTACACAGAAGATTCACAACGCACCCACAGATAGCAAACTAAATATGTCTGAAAACGTCATCGCGTTAACAGTCAATACTTACAAAAATTATTGCCAAAATAGTAATGATTCGTCAGTGTGACAACGATCACGGAGCAGGAAAGGTTTTTAAATATACTGCATTGCAAATGCCGGCGACGGACAAGTTCCAAATTCAAGGGAAATGACACATGATTTAGTACTTGGTTAAGGGGTTAAATATCCCAGAGTCCCATTCACCGGAAAAAAGGGCACCCTATTTTACATAATATGGTTAAAACTATGGCGTGAGTGGTATTTCATACTTAGACAACTTGTGATTAAATACGAAACAAGAAAACCTGGAATATCAAGCCTGGTATGTTTATAATAGTAACATATATTGAATCGATCTCGCTTGCTATATATATTCGCTTACATTCACTATAACCGCTCGGCAATTGACAAGAACTGCATTATTTATCAACAATATTATTGCGATTACATTCTGGCATGCACAGTCGTTGACCAGGGTCGTTGGACTCGACCAGACATTTAGTATTTGCAGCTTCGACTGAAAGCGAGCAGTGTTACATTCTGTATAACACATAACACACAACTCGCTGCTGTTTTTCGAAAGAACAAATTAATTATCTTTTATTAATATTATTTTGAGGGTGTATACAATGTAACTTGTATATGAGGATGGAATCTGGAGAAATTGTTACGCATGTACATGTACGATGCCCAGCTGTTACGATTAACATATGACAGTGTAGTACATTGCATGGTCGCTTCATCACTAGTCGTGTCATGTTAACTTAGAATAGTTTTGTTGCCAACTGTGCGATATTTCAGTTGATTCAAGTGTTTATGTGTATGGAAATCAGAGTTTTAAACAAATAGTGCAGAAATATTCAGTAGAATATTACACAAAAGTCAGGTAAGGCGTGTATGTTATGACAGATTAAATGGCAGTTACACATTGTATGTGTGTTCTGATTTACAGTGAAGAGCAGAAACCTGGTTGTTATAAGTGGTTATTTACATTTTATAATTCAAAATGCCTGTTAGACCAAACAGAAATAGTACTCTCATCACAACAAAGGCATTTCCTTCATAAATATTTATGAATTTTGCCATTCAAACTGAAACAAGATTTCTTTTGGCTCATTGAATAATATTGGAATGTTTTCAAATGATGTTGTTGCGCTCTTTGCTTCTGTGTGGAAGTAATTAATATTAATGAATTAGTTGAACATCATTCAATCAGAAAGCACTTCATTTTGAATAAGTGAACGATCGCAGCTGCTATGTCATTTGAATCATGTACGCACACTTTTCGTGTAGGTGCAGACAATGTTAAGCTCTAAAACCAATTAAATATTTGACTTAAATACTTAAATTTTTTTATAAATGCATTTGTTAACTAAGGTCCAGCTTTCTGCTGTTCACTGTATGTATATGCACTTTTTTTTACTTTGTGTGGTTTTGAATGAAAACAGTTGCATGAATGGGTTATAAATTTTTAGATGTCTTATCTGACCTGACTTTCATGTAGACATGACAAAAACTTTTTTATAAACAAATATTTTCACCTTGAAACTCCAATGGAAATGTCTGTCTTTGTTATTGTCATTGTTTGGGCTCTTGGTTAAGTTCAAGGATCTACATGTATTAGATGAAGGTATGAAAATGTTTGATTTTACATGAATTGGTACAAACAATTTCTAGAACTGGTGCAAATAAGTGAGTTTTTGAAAAAACTCATTAGTGTTCATCTCAGAGATTCAAAAAACATGCATGGAATGGGATCACTTTCAATGTTCGCAAATCAAGAGAATTCACTAACACTTTATCGCATATCACTGTACATGGTTATGGAAATTATATACCCATATACATATGTATCTTAGAAATCTTTGATTGTATGAATATTTTTCAGACAGAGCTGTAAGTTTCACTTAAAATTGTCTTTTTGTGTTTACAGTACATCAAGCAATTTCACTCTAATCCTTGGTTTACCATATGAATAATTCATCTCTGTCATGAAGTTATATAATTCCAATCCATAAAATCATGACTCAATTTAGCAAAAATTATCACAAGGTTAGTAACCCTGGGTAATG